GTGATGAAGGGGAATAGCCAGTGATGTTCCCATATGAATAAGAGAATAAGGGGGTGGGAGATGCAGCCTCCTCCCTCTCTAAAGGGTGAGTGGGGAGTAGGAGGCTTGGAGCTGGGGCAATCCCAGACAGGGGGCACAACCCTAGCCAGCCCCTTACACCTGCTTGGTGATACTGTCTCTTTTCTGCATGGCTTTATGCATCCCCCTATGCATTAGGAGGGGAGAGGGATTCATTCCATGCACCCACATACAACCAAACCCTGACCTTGCTTTAAGTTAAGGTAAGAGGAAGCTGCATACCAAATTTGGTGGTCCTCACTCTTACCATTTAGGAGTACTTGAACAAACAGGACAGACAGACAAGATGGACTTACTCACTTGCTCACAGATAAACTCTCTCAAATATCTATATCTATCGGTAGACAGAGAGACAGATAATTACGTACATGGCTCCAGCTTTTATCCAGAACACATCACATGATTCATTCTCAACACCCAAGCCCTAAGATACAACCTCATTTGCTCCAATCCCTCAGACAGAGACAAGCACCTAAACACTCCCTATCAAGTATTCTTAAAACTATAATACCCACCAGGGGATGTGAAGAAACAGATTGACAAAGCCACACAGGTACCCAGAAGTCACCTACTATAGGATAGACTCAAGAAAGAAAGCAACAGAATGCCACTAGCTATTACCTACAGCCCCCAGCTAAAACCTCTTCTACACATCGTCAAGGATCTACAACCTATCATAGATGATGATCCGTTGCTCTCACAGACCTTAGGAGGCAGGCTAGTCCTCACTTACAGACAATCCCCCAACCTGAAACACATATCACCAACCACACACCCCATAACAGAAACACTATCACAAGAACCAATCCCTGCAACAAACCCATTAGCCAACTGTGTCCACATATCTACACCAGCGACACCATCACAGGACCTAACCACATCAGCCCCACCATCAAAGGCTCATTCACGTGAACATCTACTAATGTTAAACATGCCATCACGTGCCAGCAATACCCCTCTGCCATGTACATTGGACAAACCAGACTGTCTCTACCGGGTGCGGCCTAAAGTGGGCTGCCGGCAGCTGGCGCCCCAGGCAGAATGTGTGATTGGTGCCCCCGCCTGCACGGCCCTCAATGGTGTGACATCATCACTGGGAGCCACGTTGAAGGCAGCACCCTAGGCAACAGCCGAGTCAGCCTATACGCACTGGCCACTCCTGGTCCTCCACAAAAGAATAAGTAGACACAAATCAGACTTCAAACATGATAACATAGAAAAACCAGTAAGGGAGTAAGTTGACCTCCCTTGACACACAGTTACTGATTTGCAAGTTGCCATTCTTACGCCAAAAAACCACACCCTCCTTCAAAAACAATGCAATGTGAAACTGCTAAGCTGGAATTCATATGTAAATTTGATACTGTCAGACTGGGTCTGAATAGAGACATAGACTGGATCCCTCATTGCAATAAG